AACAACAGTAGCTTTAACAAAGAAACAAAAGAAAATTCTCCACGACAATACCATACCAAAACACAACTGCAACAGGACAATAACTGGTAGGCTACTATCAATCACATCTATTTTTTAGTTTGGCTAAGTTTTGCTAAGTACATTTCATTCATCCCTTCCTTTATGCCTCAATTTAATAATTTTAAACATTATATATATTCCCAAGATGGAGCCGAACTAACAGGTTTTGTGTTATTTTCTTCTTCTTATTTTTGCACTATCAAGCACTTTTTTCGCAAAGCTCCTACATCAAGGTGCTTTGTGACACATTTGACACCTTGACACTTTTTTATTTCTCATAACCGCACTTGGGTCTCTTTGGTCTACTGGGAGCTATGCCGGCACCACTCGTTGGCATTGTTTACACCAGCGACCAGCTGATGGCCCTGACGCACACCACCCTCTTGGCCGGAGAGAGACCCACCATACACTGAACAGCTTAAACCACGTTGTCGGTCTTGTTTCTGGGTTTCTTGTCTTTGGGGTGAACCAGTTTTTGTCTCAGGGCATTGCAGGGTTTGAAATTCACAGGGATCTGGTGCTGGTTGAAAATCCTCCTGAGTTTTTCCGAGACCCTAGCAAAATATGGAATGGCAATGTTCCTTCCTCTGTTTTCTTCCCTGTCAGCAGGCCTCTTCTTGTTGGTTTCTATAAAAGCCCATCTGGGATAGCCACAGGCCTTCAGGGCTGTTCTGATATGTCCCTGTTCTCTTAATATTCCCTCTGTTGGTGGTGGGAAAGGTTTCCGCTCGTGTCTGGAGGGTTCTGATGACGCTTAGTTTGTGTTTCAGTGGGTGGTGTGAGTCAAAACGGAGGTACTGTGTGTGGGTGTCCTGTAGACTTCTATGTTGAGTTGTCTGTCTTCCATGATCTGAACTGTGCACTCCAGGAAGGCAAGGCTGTCATCGTTCAAATCTTCCTGGGTGAACTTGATGTTTCTGTCCACTGCGTTGATAACTATGTTTTCCTCTCATTCAAACTCCCAACCTTTTTCCATTTTTTAAATGTGCCAGCTGTGTAAATAAGACTTTGGGCCTGCTGTACACACATATTAGAGATGCAACCTCTTGGCAGGTCAGAAAACAAACCTTGTCCTGCTCTCCTCATCATACAAGCCTGTAATGCAGCAACACCCAGTCACAGTAAGGACAATGAGGAAGTGTTCTCCTGAGGGTATGGATACACTGCGTGGAAAGCTGGAGGCCACGGACTGGAATGCTATGTATGAGCCACATGGTGA